TGGGGGGTGGGGGAGAAGGGTGGTGAACGGCTGGACGTGGAGTAGCAGTAGCACAGGGTGGTGGATGGCAGCAGTGGTACAGAGGGGTGCTGCTGCCCTTGTCCTGCTCCTGGGGGGCAGCAGTGGTGGGTGGTGGCGCTCTGTCCCCGCGTTTCCACTAGGGCCTTCCCAACTACCCCCAGGGGTACACATATCCTCGATTGGCAGCCCCTGTCGTATATGTCTTGGCAAACTGAGTCTCTATTTCCTTTCTCTTCTTGGGACAGAAATATTTTTCTTTGGAAGAAGGAGAATCGTTAACTACAAACCACATTTTTGTCCTGGTGGCTGCTTTTCATTTATCTCCACCATCTACACCTTTCGTATGAGCCATGGACCTCAAATTCCTCTTTGTTCCCTCTATAGTAACTTGTTTGTTGACACCTTTGTGTAGTGCTCTTTTGACATTGTCTGCTTCGGGCTCCACTTCACCTCAGCTGGAGTTTTCATTCTTATTTCTCACGCCTGATGTGACTACTGTTGCACCCTCTCTGAGGCCTCTTGTGACTCCAGTGTGTCGAGAATGCTCAGGCCTACGTTCTTGCATCAAAAAAGTGTCCCTGGGATACCACCATCTGCACACAACTAACTTTTTATTAACCGTTTTGTTTTGTCACCTTGTTCCTGTTTATGACAGCTGCCCATAGATTTGCTTTGTAGATCTTGTGGACCTCACTTTTGGTTTTACTCACCTCTGTCTCCCATGTGCCCACTGTTTCGTTGCTTTTGGCAGAGAGCTGCCCTCTCTGCAAATCTTTGCTCTTGGAGCCAGTTGTTTTGTTATCTAAGCAGTGCTCCTTATTTCTAATCTCTGTCCTTTTTCTCTTTGCTGTTATCACCATTGCTGTGTTTGACTCTGCAAAGCATTTATAATTTTAGTCTTTAAAAGTGGAAGTTTTTTTGCTAGAAAAGTAATTTGAGTTTGATTACTGAAAAATAAGGTGTGAAAATATGGACTTGTGCACACCAAGAACAGGAGTTTGGCTTGTTTATTTGTGGTGTTATATTGCTCAGATGCATTCATTAGTCCTGGGCTAGGAGCCTACTATATTAAGTGTGATATAAACAGATGATTCCTGCCTTTTCCCTCCCCCCCCACCACCCTACCCCAAAAAAATAAATAACTAAAGAGTAGAAAAAGAGAGAACAGATGAGTATAGGCAGACAAGGGAATAGAATCAGTTGCAGAAAATCTCCTTGTCACTTTGATCAGATCTGCCCACTTTCATAGCCATCTACTGTTCCTTTTCCCCTGGAAAGCAGTTAGAGGACTTAGCCCATGGATAGGACTTTTGGGGGGCATTACAACAAAGGAGAACTTTAAGAAGGTTAAAGAAGTAGCTTTGTCATCATTTCCCCTGCATGAGAGAAGTAGCATGGGCGAGAGCATACAAATGCTTGATTGAAAGTTTTAACAAGTCAGTGATTTGGAGGCTGGTGTCTTGGGCCAATTAGAGATGTGAATTTACCCTCTGGATACTAAATGAGAGAGGCTGTAAAGGACCTTGAAGGTGAGAAACAATTGGTGGTTTGGTGCAACAGGGGAAAAAGGAGCAGTAAATGGCTATGAAAGTGGGCAGATCTGAGCAAAGTGACAAGGAGATTTTCTGCAACAGCACTGAATGTTAATAGGACAGGAGTGGGCAAAATATGGCTCTCACGCCTGTTCTGGCCCATGGCAGGTCCCTTGGTCCCACCCAACCCAGGTGTGGGGTCCAGCCTGGGCTGTAGCATATGCAGCCAGTCCCGTCACCCCCAGGCATGCAGTGGTGCTGTGGCAGCCAGACTTACCTCCCAGGAGCCCTGGTGGCAGCTCCTTCCAGCTGCTGCTGCCAATCTCCACTGCCCACCAGGGATTTTGGACAAAATGGGCAGGTGGGATCTCCATGGAAACCCACCCATGGCTTTGCCCCTGGCCTCATGCTGTCACAGCCCTACAATCCAGATCCAAATCCTGATCATCTTCCTGGCCCCAGCCCTGCCCACATGCCCCACTCATGGATGCTGCTCCCTGCCTGCCTGTGACCCCATTCTTTTCACTTCGCTTCCTCTTGGCCTCTTGGGAAGTTTGGGTGAGCTATTGTGGGGAGGTGGGGGAGGCACTGATCTGGCCTATGACAGCTCACCAAAATTCCCTAAGTGGCCCTCAGGCCCAAATAATTGCCCACCCCTGTAGTAGGAGGGCATTTGTCAAAGTCAGTAGTTAATGGGAATGCTGGAATAACTGAGGCCTTGTCTGTTGCAAAGTTGTTCTGGCATTGCAATGTCAGCTAGATATGCGAAAAGATCACACCCTGTAGCTGTTACAGATCTGCCAGCAAAACCCACGGTGTGGATGCAGCCCTACCGGCAGCAACAGATTTTCTGCTGTTTGTGGGAGCTGATGTAACTCTGGCAGCAGAAAGTCTTGTTTTGGCAAGGCTGCATGTTTTGGTTCCCAAAAGGGGACCAGCTTCTTTACTTATAGGAGCAGCAACACTTTAGTATGTAGTACACTTCAGCCATGTGATGAGAGCTAGAGAAGTGTTTGCTGTATGCATGGATAGGAAAGATAGAACCTTAGGGTGCCTTTATGGATGCTCGGATGTGTTTGGGTTGGAACATGCTGGAGCAGACTCATTCGAATCTGTTGCAATGTTCAGACTCATTCGAGTCTGTGTGCTGTGGCATCTTGGTGTACCGTGGAGTCGCATCATAGGCGCATTTAACTTACGCAGATTCAACATACACGTATGCACTGGAGTGCCAGTTGTTTGGATTCAGCCTGCAGCTGCCCCCTGCAGCACTGTGCATGAGCCCTGCTGGGAAGCTCTGAGCGCTGGCTGGGCGGGAGTTTGGTGCAGGCTGCCCTGGGCAGGAGCAGCTGGATGGGGGAAGGAGCGGACTGTACCACTGGGCAAGCCCCCCCGGCTCCCCTCCACCCCCAGCCAGCTTCTGGGACCTAGCGTGCGTGCAGCCTGCAGCTGCCTCCCGCAGCACTGTGCACAGGGCCAAACAGCTACATTGGGAGCAGCCCTGCTGGGAAGCTGTGCATGCTGACCGGGCAGGAGTTTGGTGCAGACCAGCTGATTTTCAAGAGTAATTTTGACCATACGCGATTTTCGCCTTATGCGCTGACTCTAGAACCTAACCCCTGCGTAAGATGCAACTCCATTGTATTCAACGTCCCGCACTTCAAAATGGTGGCTGGGGAGCTTTAACTAAAGCTTGTTGCATGAGCTTAAGTTAGTGTCCCTGCTGCCATCATGATATGAAAGATGCTGAGTACACAAGATATTGCGACATTAATTGGAATGTGTATAGTCACCCTTAGAGATGGTATGCAGTCTGCAAGTGAGGAGTGAGTCAAAGATCATCCCTAAGTTATAGGCCTAATGACGGTGGCTTTCTTCAAATTGGTGAGCAAAACAGGCATTGAGGAGATGTGTGCGCAAAAATTGAATGCAGTGTTCAGTATGGAACAAGTTGACAGCTTGGGCATCCGTGAAACATCAGACAGGCTGAGGTTTAAGTTTTGCAGAACATGGGTCTGGAGCAGAGGGTGTCAATCCCTATATGGTATCCACATAGTGATGGCATTTGATGATTGTGGATGAGATAACCAAGCAATAGGAATGGAGGGAGAGAGAAGGGAACAAAACTAGAGGCCTGTGAAACCTCACAGAAAGCTGCAGGGAGAAGGGTAAGGAGGATTCCTGAAAGGAGTGATTTTAAAAAGAAGAACCTGGAAAACAAAGGAAGATCCAGTTCTAATTAGATAAGCACAACTGGCTATGTTGCAGTTAGCTAACACATCACAGAGGATGGAGATGGAATATTAGCTCTGAGATTTGGTCAAGAGCAAGTAGTTAGGTTTGGGTGAGAGCAGTTTGTGGGATGCAGTGGTAGATGCTGAGAGAGTATCTAGGATAAAATTAGAGCACAACAAATGTAAACAGCATGTTCACTGAGCTATGATGTATCTTTCCTTGGGGAGGAAAGGAAAAAGGAAAGTCTTGGTTAAGATTCAAGTGGAGTAATAGGTGGAGAGACTAAAGTATGTTTTACTGTGAAATGTGAGAGGCAGGGAAGGTTAAGGAGAACCATAAAGATGAGCTAGGAGTGGATGTAAGGAGACCAGAAGGTTGATTTGAGTTACAGAGGTCTGAAGAAGGTGTTAGGAATAAAGCAGATAAATATTTTTATGCTTTTTGATCTGATGCTGGAGGGGGACTGCATGAATGAGACTAATGTTAGAGATAAGGGCAAGAGCATAGGTTCTTAATGCCCAGGTGAGGAGAATGGTGGATTGCGGGGATGGAGTTGGAAAAAACTTTGGTTGTAGAATTCCAGAGCAAGTGGCTCAGAGTTGGTACATCCGCCATGTGCATTCTGAAGCCCCGTTTCTTGCTTGTGTTTCTGCAGTGCGGCTCCATGACAGTATTTCAGAAGAAGGTTTCCACTACCTCGTCTTTGATCTGTAAGTGCCTCTCTTTTTGGTTTTGATGCTTCAGTGCTAATGTAAACTACAGATTGTTAAATTGAGACTAAAATGCTTGAATTCCTCTTCTGTTCCCTCTGGGGATTTACACACTGGCCACAGTCACCTTGACAGTAATCTGTTGAGAGAGGTTCTCTTCTACAGCAGAGTTCTGGTCTCCTCTCTAGGGACAGTAGTGGCTGCTCAGAGGGTTCCAGAGTGCCTCTGTTGTAGGTAATCCCAAATGAAGCTGACTAAGGAGTGACTTCCAGGCAGACTCCTGGAAGAACTTGAACTGCAGCAGAGAGTAGTCTGTTGTCCCAGGAGCAAGTGTGTATCCCTGGGGCTTCCTAGCTGCACCTGAGTAGTCTCTCTAACTTACTTTGTTCTCTTATGCTTCAGGGTCACTGGTGGGGAACTATTTGAAGATATTGTAGCCAGAGAATACTACAGCGAAGCAGATGCCAGGTAAGATTTGCCTTTTTATGTACCAATCCTGGTGGGGAGTGCACTCGCTTTCCCCTTTATCTTGTGTTGTGAATAGCTGCTGTGTATGCATTTCATCCCCTACATGGAAAGCCTTTCTTCCCTTTTATTGCTAATGCAGATGTTTCTGAATTGTTATCACCACAAGCAGTGACATCAGTTTCTCACTCAATGAGGTCTGTCTCTTGCCCTTCTACAGATACTGCTTTGCATTTTGCTTTTGAAGCCTCACTGCCTCATGTTTGATGCTTCTGGGGTGGGAGGTGCAGGGTGACTTTGGAGGGGTAAAGTCTGAGTGGAAGAATTAACATGTCATGTGGATGCATTAAGGGATTGGAGTCCTGGATTCCAAGGCTCTTATCCCAGCTCTATGAACAATTTATTTGTCTTGGGAAAATGTACTTATTTTGTTTGCCTAGGTGGATAAAAATAAACAATTTAAAAAATAAATAAAAATCAGATTTTATTTAAAACTGATTTAAAACCCAAAATATGTTTATTTAAAGATGCTTTTTAAAAAATAAACCTGTACAAAAGGTAGTTTTAATTGCGTTATGTTAAAGCTGAAAGATATATCATCATGGTATAGGGATTAGAACAGAGGCTTTTCCGTAGACTAGTATAAATTAAAGAAAACCATTCTTCCCAATGGGACTCAGTGCTTAGTCTAGAAGATCCCATTAAGTATGTCTATGATGCTTTCTTTGTTTTCAAACTGTGTATTTGTCTCTCCAGAGATAACATCCTTGTTAACAGCGATATATGAAGATGAGAGATAACAGACCTGCTTACCTACCAATCAGCCCTATTGTCTCTCTGCAAGATGCATGCACACAGTCAAGCCCTTACCCCCCTCTAAAAGTGCAAAGTTTTAAGGAGTTAAATGAACAGAAGATTGTTGGGAGTGGAGTAGATCTGGGCAAGGAAGAGGAGTCTGGAGATAAATGCAAGGAGGCAGGGGTAGTAGAAACAAAAGAGAAATATTTTGAGCAGAATTTTGTTGAAATTGCAAATACTTCCATTACAACCACTTTGCAGCAGCTGCTCTGAAGAAAGCAAACTAACTGTCCTACAAAATGTGTGCTAGAACTCAGAAGTGGACTGTTTTGAGTGATATATTGAGAACTGGCCTAATCTGATGACAATTTGTGAACAAAATAGATGGAATTGTCATAGCCAAAGTTTTCAACATTGGGCTAAAGAGAAGTGTAGAATGTATGCTGGCTATTAGGCCTGTGTGAAGCAGCAAGTATTCTCTTTGGATTTGGATTCAGTCGATTCAGAGGGACAGTGATTTGATTCAGGGGAGGGCTGGGGTTGGGCTGCGGGCGCAGCAGCGCTGGGAGTGGGGGCTATGCCCTGCTTCTACTTGCCCAGCCAGGGCAGGGAGGGTTGCAATGCAGGCACGGCATGCTCCGGACAGAAGGAGGCAAGCCCTCTCTCCCAGCGTTGCCGCACCTGCAGTCCCATATTCCCCCACCCCCACTCCCAGTGTTGCTGTGCCCACATCCTGCCACCCCCCCTGTCTGGACAAACGGCAGCAGCACCCATGCCCTGCCACCTTGGCTGGGCAAATGGCAGGCTGTGCCCTGCTGTTGCTTGCCCCCTTCCACCCAGAGTTATCTGTGCCTGCATCGCACCCTGCCCCAGCTGGGCAAGCGGCAGCAGGCATAGCCCCCACTGCCCCAGCTAGGCAGCTTGTCCCAGCCCCAAACTCTCCCTTGCTATGGAGGTGTTGATCTTCCCCTCTGCCCACCACAACAGATTTCCCAGCTGGAGGCAGCAATGCCCAGCATGGTGAGGACTGCTGCCTGTTTATAGCTGAATCTCCAAATCGGGCTGAATCTCCTCCAAATCAAATCTGCTACAGAAGCCTCACACAGCCCTACTGGCTATCCTGAAGCCTATTTCTGTTACCTTGAATAAAGGTTATATTAAACAACAACAATCCACTTGTTGTAGAAAACAGTGATTAAATCAAGGATTTCTGACCACTGATATCCACTCTGTTTGCCTCAGTTTTGCCAGGCATAAAGGGAGGACTAAAGCACTTAAAGATGTCCAGCGAACTGTTGTAATGAAGTGCAGGACACTGAAGTAGAGCATTACATATCAACAGTAAACAGGCTATTGAAAGAAGAGGGGTAGGCTTGTATGCCCACCCTTCTAAGACAGTATTGGGCTCCTTACTTACTATTCTGATCATTCTTTAATTCATAGATTGTTAGGGGCTGGAAGGGACCTTGCAGAACATTGGGTCCAGCCCCCCCACCCTAGGCAGGAAGACAACTGGGGTTAGGTGACCCCAACGAGGTGACTTTCTAGTCTCTTCTTAAAAACCTCCAGGGTAGGCGATTGCACCACCTCTTGAGGGAGTTTATTTCACAGTCTGGACATCCTGACTGTGAAGGAGTTTTTCCTGGTATTAAGCCTGAAGCAGCCTTCTAGGAGTTTTTATCCATTGGTCCTTGTCTTCCCTGGGGGTGCCCTAGTGAACAGTTGTTCACCGAGCTCCTGATGCTCTCCTCTGATAGAGTGGCAAGCTACTACAAAGCCCCATCTCAACCTTCTCTTCTTTGGGCTAAAGAGGCCCAAGTCCCTCAGCCTTTCCTCATATGGCTTGCCTTGCAAGTCCCTGATCATACAGGTGGCTCTTTTCTGGACCTTCTCAAGTTTTTCCACAGCTTTATTGAAGTGCGGTGCCCACAACTGGACTCAGTACTCCAACTGCAGTCTCTCCAGTGCTGAGTACAGCAGAAGTATTACTTTTACATGAAATGCATCGGTTGATGCATGCCAATGTGTTGTTTGCCGTGCTGACCACCACCTCACGCTGACAGCTCATATTCATGCAATGGTCAGTCATTACCCCTAGGTCCCTTTTGGCTGTGGTGCAAGTCAAGCTGTCACCACCGAGCCTGTATGTATGTTGAGGGTTGTTTGCCCCCAGATGGATCACCTTACACTTGGAAATGTTAAATTTCATCTGGTTCCTGTCTGCCCAAGTCTCAAGCCTGTCCAGGTCCACCTGTATCTGCAGTCTATCTTCTGACATGACCACACTGCCCCATAACTTGGTGTCATCTAACTTGGCCAATGAGCTTTTCACTCCCCCATCCAAGTCATTGATAAAGGTGTTGAAAAGCATTGGTCCAAGCACAGACCCCTGAGGGACACCACTGGCCACTTCATGCCAGGATGACGTGGATCCATTCGTGAGAACTCTCTGGGTCCTACCCTGCAGCCAGGTTCCCAGCCACTGAACCGTCGAGCAGCTGAGCCCACAATCTTCCAGTTTTCCCACAAGGATATCATGGGATACTAGATCAAAAGCCTTTTGGAAGTCCAGGTATATAATGTCTACTACATCTCCAGTGTCCAGGTGGTGAGAGACCTGGTCATAGAAGGAGATGAGATTGGTAAGACAAGGCCTACCCAGGACAAAGCCATGCTGGCTGTCGTTCAGAATCTTCACTTCCATGAGCGTATCACACACACATTCTTTAATGAGCTTTTCCAGGATTTTCCCTGGGATGGAAGTTAGGCTGACTGGCCTATAGTTGCCAGAGTCCTCCCTCTTCCCCTTCTTGAAGATGGGCAAAAATGTTGGCCCTCTTCCAATCCTCAGGGATTTCCCCTGTGCACCAGGAATTTTGAAAGAGCTTTGCCAGGGGTTCTGCAATGATCTCAGCCAGCTCCTTCAGCACTCTCAGATGGAGTCCATCTGGTCCCGCTGACCTATAAGTGTCTAGCTTTTCTGGTTGGTATTGCACCCACTCAGTGGAGACAGTCAGTCCTGGCATGCCCCCTATGAGTTTTATCTTGCTTGACTTTCCCCATGGTCAGGTGAAATACCGAAGCAAAATGGGCATTCAGGAGTTCAGTTTTTTTCCCCGAATGTCAGTTACCAGCTGTTCCGAGGTGTTAAGCAGGGGTCCCACATTTCCATTTGTTTTCCTTCTACTGCCTACATACCTAAAGAAGGATGACTTCTTGTCCTTGACTCCTGTAGCTAACCTAAACTCTGTCACTACCTTGACTTCCCTGATCATTTCCCTACAAGTGCCAGCCACTGTTGTATAGTCCTCTTTGAGGGCCATCCCTAGCTTCCTCTTTCTTTTTTAAAGAAGACTGCAATGGCCCTATTAAGCCAGAGGGTATCGTGGGATGGGGTCCCCAGGGATGGCCGTAATGCCCCTAGGGCTCTATGACCATGCCAGTCTTGCCCAACGGGCACCCTTTTCCTCGTCTGCCATGTCTTGCTGGTAATTATAATACAGGGAGGCTGCCCTTGAGTTTGTTCCTGGACATGTTCCTGATTGACCCCACTGAACCCTGTGGGTTCTTTAGACCCCCTTTTGGGTCCCATTCAACATGGTTGCCTCACGGGGCTAGATGTGTGGCTCCAAACCTGCCCCTTTACTACACCCCAAGCCTAACAGATGGTATTTACACGTCTCTCTCGGGCCTTGCTATTGCTGGGCTCTCCACAGCCCTGTCTCAGCGCCCACACTGGCATTGGGGCCTGCTCACTCCCTTTGCCACCACACCCCTGGCGCTAGGGCCTGCTCACTGTAGTGTGCCTCTCAATGAGGCCCCCGGTGGGGTTCTTGCCTGACTGCTAGGGCCCTCTCTCTCTAGGCAGTTTCTGCCCTTAAAGGAGCAGTTACCGTAGTGCCCTGAGATGGGGCTTGCCAGCTGCCTCTCCTCTTTGCAGGAATGGTTTTCTTTTGTGCTTCAAGGATTGTATTCTTGAGCAACAACCGCTTTTCGTACATGCCCTGTCTAGTAGATCAGCCATCCTGGCTGAGAACAGAGCCTTAACTCTACTTGTTGGTTTATATGAGCCAGTATCCCATGTTCTGATTGGTCAGGGTTTTGAGCTCTGTATACCTAATCTGTGTTTAGAGAGAGGGTATTTTACAAACAGAATTGCAGATGAACAGCTTCTCTTCAGTTCTGGCCCAATGGGAAAAGCAGATGCCTCTAAAGGTCAAGTTTCATGTCACTGTCCCAGCATGCACTCCATTCCTACCACTCACTTGAGTGAAAAAAGCCTGTGGAGAGTCAGGCAAGGTAAGACTAGTGGGGTGTTGCACCCTAGAGAGAGCCTTGTTGGCAGAGCTGACTTGGCTTCTGTTGGCATGGGTAGGTTATATGTGAGGTACATTCCTGTTCAGCACAGTCACTTCATATGAGAGAAGGGAGTGTGGCCCTGGCAGACTTCTCAAGGCTGTCCAGAGAGCATCTGGGTGCTCAGTTGTCTTCTCTGTGGCAAGGATCTATCAGTGAACCATTAGATGTCACACTTCTTTGGATATGCTGCAACAAGTAGCTGTGTAATGATGGAAAAAAATCTTGGGAGTTCTGTGGATCTCCAAGGGAGCTGGTGACAAAGTCCAGGAGCCCTGGGATATTTTTCATAACTGAGTAAATCTTGTAGACGTGGTGTCCCATTTAGCTGGGATGTGAAATAAGAACTTACTGGACTGCTGTCTTCTGCCCACAACCACCTCTGTTCCCTGATGAAACTAAAAAGTATATATTGCTAGGGAAGAGGAAGGTGGCAAATTGTGATTAGTTACGGGAATGAGTGAATGGGGAAGCTATTCTACTTTGTGTCTCTAGACAAACTCCTCTTGTCCTCCCTGAGGGTGCTTAGTGCCTCTGATTTCCAGCTGGGCAGGTCTAAGAGTGCCCACAAAGATCAGTGTATACTGATTGAATGCAGACTCCTCCCTTTCTATCTGCATGCTGAGCTGAATTCCAGAGCAGGCTGGGAAAGCGAGAGAAAGTGAGGTCAGTGCCAATCTGCCTCATTTGGCTCGCCTGGGACACCTCACGCTTTTGCCATTTTTGGCCAGAAAAATCTCTCTTGCTCAGAGTGTTCTGTTCTAATTATACTTTTTTGTTTTTGTTTTGTTTTGTTTTGTTTTGTTTTGGGAGTGGGGAGATATTCATGGACTTCAATCCTGCAGTTTGTGCTGCCAGATGTGGTGAGAGGAATGGGTAGGAGTGATGATGCATAATGCATTGCCCTAATTTCCAACATTTCTCCCAAAGAGGTCCCTCCCCCCAAATATTTTTCCCATTTAAAGTTCCTGAAATCCATAAAGAAACCATGGGTCCCTGGAGATTTTCAAAGAACTCCTTATCCCAGTGAGACTTGCTGTTCTGGCTTCTCTAGAGAGAATTGCCACAACACAAGCTTTCCCAGCTTCCTACAAGATGGTCTCTTACTGCCCTGGGAGTTGTTAAAATCCATGCTGCTTTCCACATCAAAGAGGCTTCCTCTGTCAGTATCTCTCGTACATAGATGCAATGTGTGCCTCAATCTGAAAGCTTGGGAGCCTATAGCAAAAGAACTAGTCTTCTCCAGAAATCTGAGCTGTGTGCATCTGTTTTCTGTGTACACCCTTTGTGGGTGTGACATTGTCCTGATTTGACAGGTGTAAATAATATGTTGTTCCTCTCCCAGTGCTGTCAGCACTGAGAGTGGCACATGCAACAGGTTTTCTGTGGGCAGGGGAGTTGTGTGCTATACTCAAGAGGAAGAATCTGCTTTTAAGATTGCTAACTCCCTAAGTGGAATCTGTACTTAAAAGGCGCCTGGCTAGTGGGAGTGTGTGTGCATATCGTATATATAAAGTGCTTGAGATGTTGCTCTGAAAGCTTTGTGAACTGGCAAGCACCCAGACTTTTCAACGTGTACTTGATGGGGGAGGCTGCTGTTTCATAAAAGCGTGTTCTTAGCTTGGGAGAAGTCTAGCTGAGTTTTTTGTCTTTGCTTGCCCAGCCCTATGCTGCTCATGGGTGCATATTCTCAGCTGAAGAAAGAACCGTGATACCTGTTGCCCAGCTGTGCAGACAAGGGTCAAGGAGAAGGTGGGAAGGACCCTCATAATCAACTCCATAATCAAGCTGAAATCCTATTGTTAAGAAACAGCTCTGGTAGTATTTGACAGCAGTAGCTGTCAGTGGGCAAGATGGAGGCAAGTCTTGGTGAAATTGGTCTGTAACCACTGCTCTCTTTTTTTCTGTCCCCTCTTTCCCCTCTTCCCCTTTATTTCCTTCTTGTCTTGCAGCCACTGTATTCACCAGATACTGGAGAGTGTGAATCACATTCATCAACATGATATTGTGCACAGGGACTTGAAGGTAACACTGTCTCCATGTCACTGGGACTGGGGAGATGGGCACTGTCCTTCCTGCTTCAGTGACACAGGCTAAGGGCTTTTTCACCTTATCTTGCCAGCTAGTGGGAAGCTGCACTTGTGCTGGGCTCAGAAGCTTGTGAAGCACCAGCATCAGGGAGTTCCTAAATGGCATGTTGAGCTCCAATAGAGCAGTTGCTCAGGGGCTCGCTTGAAGCACTGGCTGTCAGATGCAACAGGTAAAAGCGCAAGCAGGTCTAGGTGCAGGATAGGAAAGGAGGAAAACGAGCAATTGGGAGTCCTCATGGAGAGGCAATTTTCAGAGGGACTTGGGTGCTGGAATTCATTAGAAGGGAGAATGCTGTTTAGTCTAATTCCAGAGAGCTCTGTGAGGGCTGGTGGTACACTGATGTGCCAGGTTGAGTTTGCCTGCATACCAGTATGTAGGTGTATAGTCCTCACTTGAATTGCCAAACACATGCCGATAAACTAAGATGTTATATAACATGAGTTTCTCATACAGCTGCTTTTGTATCTGATCAATATAACGTTCAGGTTAAACAAAACAACATGACTGGCCTGATAAGCACTAGCCTAATGAGGCATCTGTTATGTAACAGCACATTTATGGTCCCTGTGTTGGCCTTTATTAAGCCACCTTCCCACACAGTGCCAGCCATGCTGAGTTGATTTGGTTCCAAAACTTTGCCCCAGGAGGTCTGCCCATCTAGCAATGTTCTGCATCTGAAATGCAAACGTAATAGCTGGAAACTCTTCAGTGCAAGGCACCACCCATTACTAGTGCTCCTCTGCTGCAGAAAGATGGTGGCCTCAGCAGAAACTTTCCTAAAAGTACCTTTCAAGGAATATAGTACATGCATGCTTCTTAGAAGTTCGGAAGCAATGCAGAAAACTGTTTCCTCAAGAGCCGGAGAGGTTACCTCCAAGTGACACTAATAACCAAAGCTAAGGGGACCCTGGCTGTTTTTGATGCATCAGGATGGCCCTGTAGTTCTCTGCTATAAATTTGCTTTCCAGTCACTGTTTTGGACTGAACAGAAATGCGTTCTTCTTTACTTTTCACATAGTATATTGGGGGTGCTTCTCTAAAGTCTCTCTGGTGGCAACATTCTCCCCACTGTGAGCCCTGTAGCCAATGACAGTGCCCCCACTGTGAGCCCTATAGTTGATAAAGCTCACAGGGGGCAGGGTTTTCCCTGCAGCTGACCACTGCGAGCCTTGCCAACTGCACGGTTTCATAGTTTCTAGGGTCGGAAGGAACCTGAACACATCATCAAGTGTCACCCACGGCCCTGGGCAGGAACGAGTGCTGGAATCATAATACCCCAGCCAGATACCTATCCAGCCTTCTCTTAAAGACCCCCAAGGTAGAGGAGAGCACCACCTCCCTTGGAGATGAGAAAACAGGCATGACAAGGAGGGTGTGTAGACAGGATCCTCTTTCTAGACTGTTCTGGAAGTCATGGGAGGACTTCATAGTAGTTTGGGGTCAGAAGGGACCTGAACAGATCATCTAGTCTGACACCCCCCCCCCCGCCACTGGTAGGAGCACACGCTGGGATCACATGACCCCAGACAGGTGTT